GGATGGGATCTCCTGAGCTTTAGGGGCTCCTGCTCTCTCCTGCAGAGGCTTCTGCCCTCGAGGGCAATGGCCCTGACCAGAGTCCCTCTGGCATGTGGGAGCCTGAAAGGCAACAGGCCCCATCCCGGAGCTGGAGGCCCAAAGGCCAGGCCCAGACGGCTCCCCCAAAGCTCCCCCACACTCTGGCCTCCCGCCAGCCAAGGCTCAGGGAAGGAGGGAAGGTGGCGGCCCTGCGCTTTGTAGTCTGAGTGGTGGGAGGCTGAGCCCCACAGGCTCTCCTGGCAACCACTGCACTGTGAGAAGGCGAGTCCCTGCCGGCTTCTTGGTGATAGGGCTCTGCCCCCACCTCCCACCAAGGGCCGCAGCCCCAGGGCCATCCTGCAGCCTGGACTTAGGGACTTGGCCCTTGGGGAGCTGTGGCTAGGAGGCCTGGGAATGTGGCCAGAGCAGCCCCATGCTTTCTCTCCTGCCATCTGTGGTCAGCTTGTCAGCGCAAGGTAGCAGGTCGCCCTCCCTGAATGTGATTAGGGTTTCAGGTGAGCCCCTTTCCTCCTTGCAGCCTCCCTACCTCCCAGTTCTGAAGTCTCCCCGCTCAGAGACACTCCGGACTCTCCTCCAGCCCTCAGTCATTCGCCCTGAGACTCAGCGGGAAGAATGTTCAGTGTCTGGGTTATGTCATGTTTGCGAATAGCTGCCCCTACTTTTTGGACCATGTGGCAGGCTCCAGGCCCAGGACATTACATGTTTTGTCTCATTTAATAGGGGTTCTTGTTGCCCCCACTCTGCAGATGAGGAAACTGAGGCTTCGACTTGGCCATGGTTGCACAGTCAGTTAGTAGAAGAGTGAACATCTGACCTGAACTCAGGTCTGATGGACTCCCAAGCTGAGCTCCTAAATACCATGCCCAATGCTTCCCACTGCCCCTTGGAGGCCAGAACAGCGGGCCCCTCTGCCCAAGACACCCTGCTCCCGGGGAATGGAGGCTGTGGCCCAGTTGGGGAGGATTTCTTCATGGCTTTTGTCTGTGTCGGTCCCTTTGTCCTTTGGAATGCTTGGGAGCCTAAATGGCACTAGGCCTAGAAATGGGGTGGGATGGGCGTGCACATACAGGAGCAAGAAGGGGACAGGGACATCACAAACAAGCCAGTGAGCTTGTCACACCCACCTCCAGTGAGCGTGAGAGCGGCCTAGCCTCCAAGCCAGGCCACCACCGGGCAGCCCAATTCATAGCTCAGTGTGGGGACAGGAGGAGGGGCCCAGAGGCAGCTGGGCTGCCTCAACAGCTGTACCTACAGCCACCTCCTCAGAGATCAACTCCAGCTGGGCCTGGGGTAACACGATCTGTAAGAATGTGACACTTGATTCTGCAAACAGCCCCGCTGGGCCAGGGAGCAGAGACTGTTTGCCATCCCAGAGTCACCCAGGATCTCCCGGGCCAGGCCGTTCCGGGCAGGAACCCAGAACAACACACTGCAAACAAGCTCAGCGAGGCCCACGCTTGAACTGGACTTCTCACTCGGCCCTACACGGGGCATCGGAGCTGTCTAGGTCCGTGGTCGGAAAACTGCGGCTCACGAGCCACATGCGGCTGTCTGGGCCCTTGAGTGTGGCTCTTCCACAAAATACCAACTTCTGCGCATGGGCCACGAAGTTTCAATCGCACTGTACGTGCGTGCGCGCACGTGGTATTTTGTGGAAGAGCCACATCAAGGGGCCAAAGAGCCGCATGTGGCTCGCGAGCCGCAGTTTGCCCACCGCGGATCTAGGTGGTTCTGAGGAGAGAGGACAGTAGACTGAAGGTGTGACTCCTGATAAGAAATCCTTCCAAAGTAATTCACAGCTGCCGTTTCCAGTTCCCACCACATGCCCAGAAGCACCGGGCGAAGATGTAAGGGAAGCCTGAGTTCAGCAAAAAGGTAGCTACTGGGAAAAGGTTGCACTGCTGCTGCCTGGCCATGGCACCTAACGAAGTCACCCCTGCAGCCCCTCTGTGGCTCGCGCCCAGTGCTCTGGGTGGCTCCTGTTTGTGCTTTGGGCTGATCCTCCTGGGAGCTGTATCCCCTCGCACAGCCAAGCTCCATTCCCAGTCCCCACATCGTGCCTGTTTCACGCCGGTGTGTGGCCATCCTCTCCCTGGTCTGGGGAGGAAGCCATGATGGCCAGAGAGAGGCCAAAGTGATGGCCCAGGTCCTCCGTCAGCCCTCTGCCTCCTCCCGCGTCCTCCCTGAGTGCCAGACTCCAGTTGAAGCTGAACAAGTTCTGAGCACCTAACATACAGTGTGGTGATTATAGTTAATAATACCGTGTTACACACTTGAAAGTTGCTAAGAGTAGATCTTAAATGTTCTCACCACAAAAAAGAATGGTAATTATGTGAAGTGGTGGGAGTGTTAGCTAATGCTATGGTTGTAAGCATTTTGCAATATATAAGTGTATCAAATTAACAGCTACATGGCAAACTTACACAGTGTTATATGTCAGTTTCATCTCGATAAAGCTGAAAAAATTAAAATACAAAAAATAAAAGCATCTACAAAAACTTTTTAAATATGGGACAACTGAATATCCATCCACATGCAAAAAGATATTAACTTGGACTCCTTCATACAATATAAAAAAAAATTTAAATGGGCCAGAGACCTAAATGTAAAAGCTTAAGAAAAAAATTTTACAAGAAACCGTATCATAAATCTCTCTGACCTTGGATTAAATAGCAGTTTCTTAGATACAACACCAAAAGCACAAACAAACAAAAAAAGAAACAGATAAATTGGAATTCATCAAAGTTTCAAAAATTGTGCTTGAAAAGACATCATCAAGAAAGTGAAGACAACCTACAGAATTGGAGAAAGCATTTGCAAATCATATATCTGATAAGAGACTTGTATCTGCTATACAGATAATTCTTACAACAACAATGAAAAGATAAGTAACCCAGTTTAAAAATAGGCCAGTTGCTCAGTGGTTAGAGCATCAGCCCTCAGATTGGAGGGTCTTGGGTTTGATTCCTGGTCAAGGGCACATGCATCAGCTGCAGACTCAATCTCTGGCCCCCAGTTAGGGCATGTGTGGGAGGTAACCAATCAATGTGTCTCTCTCACCTCTCTTTTTCTCTCTCTGTCTCTCCATTTCCCCCTCCCCCCTCCACTCTCAAAAAAAAAAAAAAATGAAAAAAATCTCTGGTGAGGATCAAAAAAAACAAGACAAGGATTTGAATAGACATTTCTCCAAAAAGGATATACAAATAGCCAAAAAGCACAAGAAAAGATGTTCAGTATCATTAATCACTAAAGAAATGCAAAGCAAACCCAGAATGAAATACCACTTCGGGCTATAATCAAAAATAGATAATAACAAGTGTTGGCGAGAAATGTGGAGAAATTGGAACTCTCATACGTGGCTGATGGGAATGTAAAATGGTGCAGGCACTGTGGAGAAGTCTAGCAGTTCCTCAAAAGTTTACACATAGAGGGTGACTATATGATCCAGAAATTCCTCTCGGGCATATAACGAAGAAAAATGAAAACATTCACACAAAACCTTATATATGCATTTTGAAAGCAGTATCGTTCTTAATTGCCCCAAAGTAGAAACAACCAAATGGTCCACCAACTGATGGCTGGATAAAATATGGTTTATCCATACAATGGAATACTATTCGGCCATAAAAAGGAGGGGGAAATGGGGAATGACAGCTAATGGGTAAGAGTTTGGGGGATGACGAAAATGTTCTGGGATTAGTGCTGATAGATGCACATCTTTGTGAATATACTGCACACCACTGAATTGTACACTTTAGGACTTTATGGCATGTGACGTATATCTCACTTGAACTGTTCTCTTTGTAATGCCCCGTTAATGTCTTGGGCAGATGGAGTGAGGATTCCTACCATCGCTAGCACCTCTTTCCAGCAGTGCTGTTGGGGTCAGTGTGTGTTAGAAAGGAAAGAGGGGGAACCCAAGGAGTGTACTGGGGTGTGTGAATACACTGTGGGGATCACCCATGCATTCCGTCAGCCCTGCCCTTCTCCCCTCCTTGGTGCTGGATGCTGGGTGCCTTGCAGAGGGCGACATGGGGAGGGGTGGCCCTCAGTGTGTTCTCAGCTAGGACACATCAGAGGGAGACCTCCACTGTGCTTCTGGTTGGTTCTAAAGCCAACTGCGGGCTTTGAAAGTCTTCAGAGCAGGGCTCTAAAAGAGCATCTTTGCCTGAAGATGAGAAAGAATGTCTGATTTCTTAACATTGGGTGCATCCCTGGCCCATGTGGCTCAGTTAGTTGAGTGTACCAAAAGGTCACCGGTTTGATCCCTGGTAGGAGCACATGCCCGGGTTGTAGGCTTGATCCCCAACAGGGGACCTGCAGGAGGCAACCAGTCGATGTTTCTCTCTCTAAAACCAATAAAAATATATTAAAAAATCATTGGGTACAGAGTGAAACCTCGGTCACATTTCACAGCGTGCGCCGTCTTTCATCTAGTGGCGTGGGCACAATTACTCTTGGTTCAGTCACGCTGGGAAAGGAGTGTGGCTTCTGCCTCGCCAGGTGTGTCAGTTTTGTTGACCATTGAGGTTGTGGGCCTGACTTTCCCCCTTTTTTCTCTTTGACTTGTCATTTGTCAACTGGCCAAAATAAAGGCCAAGGCATATTTTATTTATTGAGATAATGAGTAGAAGTTTATTTTTTAAAAATTACATAGCACCTAGCAGAGGATCTTACAGAGAGGCGGTGCTCACTAAGTTGCCGGGGTTGACTGGGCGGATGGACAAGTCAGTGGGTGTGTGTGTAGTAAGCAGAGTTGCTTGGACTTACCTGTGTAGCCCTTGTTTTATTGCTGTCAAATGTGGCCCTTGATTGAAGATTTTTCCCTTGTGTTGTTGCACACAGACCACCACCACCACCACCTTTTTGGCATTTACAACTGTTTATATTCTGGGGGGTGGGCTGCCCATCACCCTGTGGACACAGAATAAATCCCAGCTCCATCCCTTTCTCTACAGGTACCAAAGGCTTAGAATGTTCTCCTTCTACTCCCACCATGAACTCCTACTTCTATAAGTTCATGATCAACCTTCTCAAGCGGTTCAGCAGTGAACGGAAGCTCCTGGAGGTCCGAGGCGCCTTCATCATCAGGTTAGCGCCGCACACTCTCCTCCTCACCCTGTGAGGTGTCCCATCCACCACTTCCTCTTTCGTGTCACTTGTCTCCTTTTCCTGACCTTTGTGTTTGTTCTTCAAAGAAACAAAGAAGGTCCCCCCCTTCACACTGGTGTTACTGACTTGAGGCAGGTCCCTGTCACCATTTTCAAACAAATGAATTCGTTTTTTCGCTTGTGAGACAGTGTTTTCCTTTGAGGTTGAGTATCGTCTCATTAAATGCCCTAGAGGGGGTCTTTGAGGAGTGGGGGAGTAGGTAAGCCAGATGGGACATGAGCCGGGCTGTGCCAGGTAACCCACTGCCTACACGGGGTGCCCAGGTTTGCTGGCAGCGGTGGAGCCAGATACATGAGTCATGAGAGCCTAGACCTGGACGGTGCCTGGGCCCCAGCCCCAGTCGCTCAACGCCTCTCAAGCTGTCATCACCAGTAACATGGCCAGGTCTGGCCTTTTGCCACCTACTCAGCTCCAAGGAGCAGGGTTACCAGAAGAGTGACCTTCAGACCAATAAAATCTAGATCTTCCAGGGGGAAGACTTCTCCGGAATAGTCTGAGTGGCAGCAGCTCTCAGCTCTGGCTGTTAGGTCACCCAGGAGGCTTAAAACAGAAGCCGATGGCTGGCCCTCCCCCTTCAGTGAAATCAGAACCTGTGGGGTGATGAGGGTGTTAAAGCCATCCAGGGTGCCTGGGGGACAGATAGACTAATGTGGCCCCTGGGGCCAGGGAGGCTTCTGAGGCCATCTGAGGCCATCGTGGGGATGGGAGCTGAAGGAGCTTCTGGCCTGTAAAGAGCCTTCAAGGCAGAGAGAAGCTTGGTGCGTTCATTTTGCCGTAAACCAGAGTTAAGGGCCAGGGGAGCTCAGCCTTGTGGGCCACACTAAGGATTGGGGGCCTTACCCAAAGGTCACAGGGAGCCACTGGAAGGGCTTGAGCAGGGAAATGGTGTGACCAGATTTCTTTGGTTTAAACGATGACTGTGCTGCTGGGGGATGATGGGGGGAGAGGCAAGGGGTGTGTGGGAGGCTGCCATCCAGGTGAGAGATGGTGGCAGCTGATGGCGGAGGGGAAGAAGCAAGGGGATTTGAAAGTATAAGATTTGGTGATTAACTGCAGGAGGAATGAGGGGAGAGGAGGGGGAGTGACACCCAGGACCCTGGGGTGCCGCAGTGGGTGGGGTGGCAATTTCTGGGATGGGAGCCCTGGGGGAGGAGCAGGGAGGGAGGAGGGGCCTGTATTTGCATGTAAATTGCTTTGGGAACTTCAAAGGAGAGGTTGAAGAAGCAGTTTCTGTACCTGCCTCTCAAAACGGGGCCTGGGCCTGAGATACAGATCTGGGAATTGATGGCATAGGCATCCATTCGTTCCCTCATTCATTTATTCAACAGATTGACTGAGACTGATTCTGTGTGAGGCACCATTCTGTCCTCGTGTGCTTGTGGGGTTTTCATTCTTAGGAAGTGGGAACAGTCGCTGTAACAGGCAGAGGGAAGGGCAGGGGCTGAGCTGAGCCTGAGCTCCGCTGTTCAGCTTGGGAAAGGAGAAGCCAGGAAGGAGGCTGAGAAGAGGGCCCAGGAGGTAGGAAGAAGCAGAGGAACGGGGGATGGCAGGAGGCAGTTTCGGGGAGATGAGGCCCCAAGAGAGTCTCCTGGGAGGCAGGGGGAGGGAGCACCAGGCCCTCGCTCGAGGGCTGAGCTCAGCGGTGAGCGACCTGGAGAGCAGGCAAAGGATTGAGGCGAAGGAGGGACAGGCCTGCCTCACAGGCCTGCCTCACCAGAAGGACAAAGAGCAGGACCGCAGAGTCCCTGCCCTCCAAGCAGGTGGCTGTGGGGGTGGGAGGGGGTCACCGCACTATTGGCATTTGGGGTCGGTCCTTCTTTGTGGCGGGGACTGTCCTTGCAGTGTAGGGTGTGGAGCAGCATCCCTGGTCTCCACCCACCTGCTGCCAGCAGCATCGCGCCCACCCCGCTGGGACAATCAAAAATGGCTTCAAACATTTCCAGTGTCTCCTGGGAGCAAAATTGCCCTGAATGAGAACCAAGGTTCAGAGGGACAGAAATGGATTCTTGTCCTCATTGGCCAAGGGAGGAAGATGTCCACGGCTTTGCAGCACCTCAGGCTGGGCAGTCAGTCGGGGATTGAAGTGAGGTTAGATGTGGTACAGGAGACCCCCACCAGGAAGATGACGGCCTGTCCTCACATGAGTGACAGTTTGCTCTATGTGGTTTTCCAAACTGCAGAGGTGCCAGCCCTCTGACCAGCCCTCCTTGCCTGGAAGACTTTCGGGAACCGGTGGAGAGGCCTTTGGAAAGGCCTGCATAGCTACTCTCCTCCCTGGAGAACAGGCTGTAATGGGTTCTTCCATCCTCTCCGCCTCGCAGGCCCCATCAGGAGTGGGGAGCGGGAGCTCAGGGGAGTGAGCAGCACCCCCAGACTGCACCAAGCTGCAGTGCAGCTGGGGCCCTGCCACCGCCCACCTTCCCATTTACACCTCTAGGACAGTGAGGCGTCACTCGCTTTGCAGTGTCTCCCAGGCATCCAGGGCTGGTGGGAATCCTCATTTTGCAGAAGGGAAATGAGAGGAAGCCATGTACCCTTCCGGCTTGGTCGGAGCTGGGCTGCAGACCCCTGCGCTCTGCTAACGCCGCAGCTGCCACTTTGCCCCTTCTGTGAGAGAGCCGAGTCCCGTGCCCTGAGGGGCTCCTCCCTCCCGGTCCAGGGCACTCAGTATAGCCAGCATGGTGACCGTTCGCCATTCTAGGGCTCACACCCCTCAGGGACCGTGCTGGGGCCTCCTGGGTGAGAGCCTGGCCTCCCTCCCATCCCACACAGCCCCAGAGGCCTCCTAGCCCTTGGCACTCACACTGAGAACCAGGCTGGCCCCTCACACATGTTACCCCTTGTAGTCCTTTGCTTCAGTTGTCAGCCTGCTATTCCTCTAAGCAGCACCAGCACCTGTCAGTCTGTGTTAAGGCCAGCAGCCACCTGGCCCTTCTGGGCCACGCCAGTTCTGTGAACCTGCTGCCTGTTAAGCCAGCGTGCCAGGTCGCAGCCGGCCAGCCCAGGCCACAGCCCAGGCCCCCAGTCCGGCTGTCAGGGCGCACACCGCACAGCATCAGATGTGGAGGCGGCCTTGAAGGGGTGCTTTCCTCTTCGGCAGAGATTGTTGGGATGGGCCCTCGGGAGCATCAGCCTGCCCGCAGGCTTCTCATCTCATTTCCTTACGTTCTGCTGAGGGCTCCAAGGAGGAGCGTGATAATGGTACATGCGGCTGCTGAGAAACAGTAAATGATCAAACCCTCCAGGTGCTACTGAAACTGTAAGTTGCTCCTCTCAACCCCCAAGACCAATCGTTGAAAAGGAAAGGGAAGATTCTTCTGGCAAACCACGTCTGTGGCAGTGTGAGCTCCAGGTCCCGGAGCGGCTGCATGCCTAGCACAAAGCATCTGGAGACAGACATCTGGTGGGGGTCCTGGCGCTGAGGAAGATGCCTGACTTCCCTCGGGACCCAGAGCGTTTCCTCTCCCCTCAGCTTTCCCAGGCTGCACCTCCGAGGGGGTTGGGAATGGGGCCCCGAACTCCAGCCTGGGTCGGTTGGACATCTTCTCTGGATCCAGATGGCCTTGTTTCTGGTGGACATAACAGTGTATACGCCTGTTGAGTTTGGGGAAGCCAGTGGCTCAAAACCTCATCTCAGCCAGACTTTGTGGGAACTGCTCGCAAGTCCACACATGGAGGGAAGACAGGACAGGGTTAGAGGGTGCTGAGAGGGGGCTGGTGCCGGACACCCCCAGCCCTGCCCACACCCACACCCTCCACAGTCGTGCAGCCACTGGGCCTCCCACAGGCACTCAGGGCAGGAGGGAGCTTCTGGAGTGAAGCTGACGGGTTCGAAACCCGGGTCCTCCAGTTTTTAACGGCGCGACCTGTGTCCAGGGCTGGCTTGCTTTGCCTGTAAGACGAAGACGGTGGTGCTGCCTGTCGTTTGCGGAGAGGGTTACGTAAGACCGTGCGTGTTACAGCTCTCCACACAGCTCGGTAAAGGGGAGCTGTTGTTCCGCCTGGCGATGTGGCCTCGCCTCCCACGGTGGGCTGTGGGGAGGGGAAACCAGACTTGAGAGGGTGAAATAGTTGAACCTTCTGTGCCAACAGCTGGCTCTGGCGCACCGGGCCTGCTGCCCCAGCACCCAGGGCACCCACCGCGGCCCAGCCCCTTAAAACAACTCTGCCCGGGTGGGTGTACATTTACTTCCCTCTTCCAGCCTCTTCCCACCCTCCGTGCCAGTGCAGGCAGGACAAGCGCGGGCCTTGTTTTCCCATGAACTGGTCACTTATGCCGAGGAGAAAAGGCGAGGAGGGAGAAAACGCAGCCTCTTTGATAAACTGGCATATGAACTCCAGCGTAATCCTACAGCTGGGTCCTTACAAGGCCTGCTGTGTGCTGGGAAGGGAGCGGGGTGAGGACGCCCCACTCTGCCGGCCAAGACGGCCCTCTGGCCAGCCGTCCTCTGCCTTAATCAGCTGAGCCTCTCCCCCTCCTCTTCCTCCCTGCCGCCTGGCAAGGGGACTGGCCGGAGAATGCTTTCTTTTTAACCAGCGACTCTGCTGTGAACGCGAAGGCTCCGACCCCAGCCAGCCCAGTTGATGGTGGGTGAGGTCCCAAGCACCCTCCCCAGGAAAGCGGTGCCTCTGAGCGGGGCGGGTGTTCAGAGAGCACGGGCTGGGGGCCCACGGAGGTGGGGGCAGTCACGAGGCCCCTTCCGCGAGACCAGGCCCCCCACTCCCTCCCCCGGGTTTACATAAGAGCCTGTGTCGGGCCTGGAGTAGGGAATTGATTGGCCGCTGAGGTGGGTGGTGGGGCAGGGGAGCCAAGGCCTAGGAAGCCACTGGAAACTGGCCTTGTTTTTCGTTGCAGGGGCTGGGGGAGGGCCTCGAGAGAAGAAGCCCTTTCATGCTGATTGGGAAATTCCACTTTGCTA